TGACTTCATCGCCCACACCTGCAGCCAGATGTTGCTCACTGACATGTGGATGGGTTGCTTAAGGATCGGCAAGAATCCAGGCCTCAAGGTTGATACCACAAAATGTTTTCCTTTCAAGCAATCAGCAAATAATTTAAAAATGAGACTCAATAAGCCGCATTTCTATGCCAAGGGCCAACAATCCCTTTTAATACAAGTTTTAAGAAAAATACTACAGTAGTTTTGATGTAATTCTGCTGACAGAAAAACAGACAAGCGAAAATGAAAACATAACCTCCTTGGCAGAGGGAACGATAGAAGTGACATCAGAAGTAAAAGTAAAATAATTCACTGTAAACAAGCAAAAACAAAAAAATCACTGTATCTTGTAAAAACTGAACATTTTCTTTAAGGTTATTCTGGGAATCATCTTTCCTCCTCTGATTCTACTGTTGGATTTCCGTCTTGGCGATGATCACGCACCTGAAGGCAAAGACAAGGGAAAAGACAAGGACGATGACGCAAAATCCAGCAAGGTCCAGAATCATGCTGATCTTGTCAGATTAATCAGTTTTTACATCGTGTTAATAAGACGAAAGATGATAAACTGAGAGTTTGTTCTTGCATTGTAGGAAACCAATACGGATGCAACTTCCCGAAAGGGAGATGAAGAGGAGGGTAGCACTCACGTCCGCAAAATCCCCATTGGCAAAAGGCTCTTTGAGTTTTACGATGCACCCTTCACCAAATTCTGGTTCAATACTGTGAGTTTCCTTTTTGTGCATGAGACAAATTATAGTGAGCATTTAAAAAAATTCTAACTTACAATAAAGCAACTTTATAACGTTTGTCTTTTTCCAATAGATTTGCTATCTGGGATATTTGATGTTGTACAACTACATAATCCTGGTGAAAATGGAGCGATGGCCATCTTTACAGGAGTGGACTGTCATTGCATACATCCTCACGCTTGGCAGTGAGAAAGTCAGACAGGTAAAGAGCACAAGATATTACATATTGTCAGATGAGCGACATGAGAGTGAAGCCAAATTCTCTTGATCGCCCCCGGGTGGCTGGTTGCATTGTGGGCCAACAGCCCTGGCTCCTCCATGTTAGTGGCTGGGACATGTGGCAAACGAATTATGATTAGTTACTTGATGCTATAAAAACAGGGTGATTATGTTATGATTGACAGCTGACCTCAATACTTGGGCTCTACAAGATGGCAGCACATTTATGCAGGATATTTTAGCTTCATTTTCATACAACAGGAGAAAGTGGAAACACGTCTAACTTTATGAACAGTTTATGGTCTGATCAAATTCAAGTAACTATGTGTGTTTAAGATCACTTGTGGTCTCTGAACTGTATCTAGATTCTGATGTCGGAGCCGGGGAAGCTGAAACAGAAGATAAGTGTGTGGATGGAGGAGTACTGGAACATTACAGACATGGTTGCCATTGCCACCTTCCTGCTTGGGCTTATGCTTCGGCTACAGCATGAGCCTTACATGGGCTATGGCAGGGTCATCTACTGTATAGACATCATCTTCTGGTACATCCGTGTCCTGGACATCTTTGGAGTCAACAAATACCTGGGACCATATGTGATGATGATTGGGAAGATGGTAAGGACCTTAAGTGTTTCAAATAAATCCTATGAAAGTCACGTGACAGGCGTGATACATACTGTATACTAACAGAATAAACTGCAGTTCTCATAGAGTTCAAATGTTTGTTCCTCTTTATTTTCAGATGATTGATATGATGTACTTTGTAGTGATCATGCTGGTGGTGCTCATGAGCTTCGGGGTGGCTCGGCAGGCCATCCTTCACCCAGATGAGGAGCCGACCTGGCGCCTGGCCAGAAACATTTTCTACATGCCCTACTGGATGATCTATGGGGAGGTTTTTGCGGACTCGATAGACCGTAAGACTAGAATTTATAGTAAGATTCTGTTTCCTGATTCTGGGCAGATGATCAGCGTTACATTCATTTCTGTGTCAAATTCTGTGAAACAATATGTTACGCTAGGACCTCTCATACTTTGTCTCCCTCTGCTGGTACATTTGTAATTGTCTGTCTTAAATGCATGGCCATAATTTTGCATTGAGAGAGAGTAGAATAGGTATCATTATCTCATCCCCCTGGATCATGATCATCTGCCTTCAAGTTCTGTCAGTTTCTTCTGTCAGGGTGAAGGCACTACACAGCTATTTAAAAAACGGAATTAAATATCATGTTTGATGCTCCATGTATTTAAGACTAATGCTCCACATTTAAAAACAATTTTCAACAAAGCTGTGAAAAATATGAAATTTAAATTTTCCAAAAAACATGAAGTGAAAAAGACATGCTTGCCGTGTTGAAAAGTTGGAGTAACATTTTGATGATGAACGTCAGCTTGACCTTGACAGAAGCACGATATGAAAATCCAACATTTATTGATTTTAACCCTTTCTACGTGTTTTCTCTTGACTGTGCTTTTCTCGGATTTGTCTGAAGTCTATGCAATGGAAATCAACCGTAAGTCAATTATGTAATTCAAATCAATTATCTGAAGTTCTCAGAATAAATTCAACAGCTGTAACCTCCCTTCCCCACAGCTCCATGTGGTGAACATTTATATGACGAAGATGGAAAGAAACTCCCTCCCTGCATCCCGGGTGCCTGGCTCACACCTGCTATTATGGCCTGTTACCTTCTCGTAGCAAACATTCTTCTGGTCAACTTGCTCATAGCAGTCTTTAAGTAAGTATATGTTCGAGGATCTGACTGATCTGGTATTTTACATAACACATCAACTGTACAGGTACAGTTTGTACTCGCTAATCTTTTTTTCCTGTTCCACAGCAACACCTTCTTTGAGGTCAAGTCCATTTCCAACCAGGTGTGGAAGTTCCAGAGATATCAGCTGATCATGACCTTCCATGACCGTCCCATCCTTCCTCCACCTCTCATCATCTTCAGCCACCTCTACATCCTCTTCAGCAGGCTGTGTCGTCGGTGTGCCAGGAAGAAACAAGAGGGAGAGCTGGATGAGAAGGACCGAGGCCTCAGTTAGTTTCATCTAATAATTAAAAAAAAACACATATCTTAATCTTATCCTGAATCAATTAAACTAATTCTGTCATGTTTTATAGACATGTATAGCTCATCTGCAAAGCATGTAGGCAGTTGTATCATTGTAACTTGCTGAATCTAACTGCACAACACCAATGGATGCAAGGCATATCTGTAGCACAGTTGATGCATTTTCAAACAAAATGTAGTAGCATGGATATAGCCTCAGACTGACAAAAAGTGTTGGGCTTTGTTTCTACCAGAGCTCAGGCTGAATCCAGAGGAGTTAAAAAGTCTATATGAGTTTGAAGAACAGTGTGTGGAGGAATATTTCCGTGCAAAAGAGGACGAGCAGCAGTCCTCCAGTGATGAGCGCATCAAGGTTACCTCAGAAAGGTGAGCCTCCTTTGTGTACAGACATTTCTAAACACCAGTTCCAGGAAATACATACATACATTTTGATTGTGTTTTTGGCAGAGTTGAGAACATGTCCATGCGTCTGGAGGAGGTAAATGAGAGGGAGAACACTATGAAGGCCTCTCTGCAGACCGTGGATCTGCGTTTGGCTCAACTGGAGGAGATCCACGGACGAATGGCTGTTGCCCTCGAAAAACTTGCAGGGGTGGACAGACTGGAGCTGACCAGAACCTACTCACGAAACTCCTCAGTGTGCGACCCATCCTCTCTCCTTCGTCAGGGCAGCATTAACAGTGCTGATGGTTACAGCCTTTATCGTTTCCACATGGACATGGAGGAGTTTGCACAAAAGCAGAAGGACACAGATGAGACGACAAAAACTGGTGTAGAGAGGCAGAGGAGTCTGCGTCAAGCCTCCAGTGCTTGTACTCTCAACACAAAGGAAGGTGGTCAGACCTTAGACGTTGCAGGATTGGAGAGATCGAGGCCCAGCTCTTGTGTGGACATTCTCATATCTCCATGTGAACAAAAGTCTGTTTCTGCAGCATCAAGCCAAGAGACCATAACCAACATAACACAAGGCAGCACATTGCTGATAGACAGCCTAACAGACAAGGATAGACTAAAACCTTCTTCCCCTCCGAAAAGGACCAAATCCTTGAGGTACTATCCGGTTGACGACCAACCCACGTCTCCGCTGACGAAGAGGAGGGCTATGAGCACCATCATTATTAGCCCTCCTGATGAACCAGCGGAAGCAGCTGAACAAACAAAAAAAGCCACCATGCTGTTGGGAGCGTCCTCTTCTCCAAAGAGAACTGAGTCTTTGAGATATGTCCCCACTGAAACCCAGAGTCAAACTTCTCCCATCACAAAGAAGAGGGCAATGAGCAGCATTATCTACAACCCAGCAGAAGTAGGTGATGATGTTCTGCAGACTGCAGACTACAGGTCACTGGTGGAGCAAGTAACCAAAGAGCCAAATCAGTGGCCAGGAAACTTAGAGTATCAGGTGCACCCCAGCACTTTGGGGCAGATGCCTAAGATATCAACAGTCAGGACTCTTGCCCAGCAGTTTCAAACTAGCGCCGCCCCCACACTGCTTAAAAAAGAGGAGAAAAATCTGACTGATCCAAGTCCTTCAGAAAGCGAGCGGGCGGCAGAGCCCATGGCAGATCAAACCAAGATGAAGGCAAAGAGAAACCTCTCCGACACCACTGAGTATCTGACTGTGGCGGATGAAAATTACTTGCTGTCTCACAGGTCACAGAGCTGTAATGCAAGCGTGAGGAAAACAAAGAGCTTGATGGTTTGCAGGGAGCCCAGAGCCTCCAGCAGCGAGAGAGACCTCACTGAAGTCAACAGGGTGGCAGCTGGCGGAGGGGAAGACGTGGGGAAGAAGATGGAGGCAGAGAAGAAAGAAGATGAAGCACAGGAAAAGAAACTTGATGACAATTAATGCTAAACTCTCCAATCTTGTAGTAAATGTTAACTGGGAAAACCAACATTATATTCTCTTTTGAAGATCCACTTTCTTTACTTTCTTTACTTTTCACTGGTGTAACATACAGTAGCTTACGAACACAATCATTTACATTACAGCTTTCCCATGTCATTGTGTTTTCACTGTAGAGACGAAAAGGGCAACATGATTAATGTCTATAGTTTAAGGTGAAACTGAGGGATATATACAACTCTTAATAATCACATGTACACTATGTGAACAGCAAAAACATGAATGTCCTATATATGGTTGACACTTTGAAATACAGTCTGTAAACATTTTTGAGATAAAATGTAAAATGTGCTCAATAATGTCCCACTCAGAGGTGTCCCTACAGCTTCCATGCAAATACTGACAACTGCATAACAATATGTAACAGCTTCCAAGAAACAAAGAACCTTTTCCATTTCATTTTGTCACACAAACCTGTATAAATAAAGGCTCTGTTTGAAAAGAATAAATACAAATTGAGAGAATACAGTAGGTTGTATTTATACATACATTTGTCTTTTTTAAAACAATACTGTAAGTCCTTCTATAGGCACACATGAACAAGCAGAAATGTTGCCAGTGCAACAGGAGACCATAAGATTATTAATACACAGAAATTCACACAGACAAATACAATCAGTGCTGAGACTCACAGAATCATCATATTAAATAAGACAGTAGGTAGTTTGGATAAAATAATGCTACAGTATATGAAAAAAAACAATTTTTTTCACATCGTTTTCCTTTTTTTTACGACAACTATGCATAACTGGGATGTTTTCATGAGATCCACCAGAGGTATCATTAATGCCGACAGCATCACTGCCTCCTGCGAGACAGGTACTGATGGCCAGCTACAAACCACTGCTGATGATCACGCACAAGTCTTCGCACGAGGCCATATACAGTATCAAGCCTCATTCCTCTGTGATGCTCCTCCGCTCATCAGATCACGATAGCGTCTCAACCACTCATTACACTGGGAGCTTCATGACGGCAGTAAGGCTCTCTGATTATGACCAGTGCTGCCGCTGCTACGAGGACATTCAGGGGGCAGTAACGCTCCAAAATAGCAAAGTCACACAGGCTGTGAGCTGCGAGCGCTAAAAATGAGCAGCCTAGAGGAGCGAACATTTGAAGAACTTAATCCTCTTTGACTTTTTCTCTGAGATCTTGACCGGTTTGCCTGACCCTCCGGCACCGTTGTCAGTCTAGCACAGGGAGACATGACAGTGGAGAAATGTAGTAAATACAGTATTAAACAAGTGATCTCTCACACATTTAAGAATCGATTGTAAGTAACTCTTAACCACTTACTGTCTTTGAGCTCAGATTATGCAATATGTCTCTTCCCATGGTATAAAAAGCCTGAGTGACAGAAAAAAAAAAGAACAAACGTTAACTGTAAAAATAAATTATCACTCATGTTACGTGACCCTTCTAGGGTTAAACATTGCTGCTTACCTCCTCCACGTTTAAACTAGACTTTGCACTGGTTTCCAAGAACTTCACCCCGTAATCAATAGCCAGCTAAGTGAGATAAAAGAAAGTCAATGTTAGTGCCACTCAGTGCAAACTGGAAAAGTGCACCGTACTTGTTTTAGACTGATTTCAGACATGAGCGGCTGCAGATACTCACTTTTTCTCCTCTGTCTTTCGACACCTGTCTCCTGTCATTCATGTCACATTTATTGCCCAGGATCATTTTCTCCACATCAGACGAGGCATGCTGGGAGAATTGAAAGATTATGTATACAAAGTATGTTGCTCAGAACAATGACAATATCAAACAGCACTTTGAACAAATAAAGTAAGGGCGCTATATGTACAGTTTCTCTGCTGCCACATGTGGTTTCTGTGGTTCTGCCGGTTATATGTTTACAAGGCAAGAGGTAATACCTCTGAGCCATTTAATGCTGAACTTGCAATGTTGAGATTGTACTGATACATAGCAAAAATGTACATACGACCGCTTTAAAGTGAGAGCTCACCTCCTCAATATTTCTGATCCAGTTTTTAATGTTTTCAAAGGACTTCTCATTGCAGATGTCATAGACCAACATGATACCCTGTGAAGAAAAACAACCTCAGAAAGAATTTCCGAACCCTGATGTGTCTGGTAGACACACAGTGAGGAGGGGTGTGATGAAGAAGGCAGCACTTACCATAGCACCTCTGTAGTAAGCTGTGGTGATGGTGCGGAACCTCTCCTGTCCTGCAGTGTCCCTGAAAACATCAAATCAACATTGCCAGTTATCAAATTAGCCAGATTCATCTCACACTGGCTTTTACAAAGACACTTACCAAATCTGAAGTTTGACTCTCTTCCCATCCAGCTCTATTGTTCTGATTTTGAAGTCTATTCCTGTAATAGAATTTAAAAAAAAACGGCACAGCTGCATGAGATGATGCTTGCTGCATCGATTAGTTGCATGATATGGTGAACGGTCAAATTATCCATCCTATATGTCATCCTGCTGAAGGACGTGATATAATGTCACAGCAAATGTAACTGCAACAGAACTAACGAGGATATAACAACATCAAAACTGTGTTTAATGCTTTACATTTTAATAAGGTTTTCAACGTTTGAACATCATGACTACAGTTCTGATCTCATTCTACATTTAGGTCTGATGATGCCTCTGAAGCATCAAGGACAGATCATCACTAGTTTCCATTGTCTTACTCGGATGCTTCATTTAACGATGCACGCCTGTGTGAGTATGAAAATGTGTTGCTGTCTCTGCATATATTCAACCTTCATTAGAGCAGCAAAGCAGCGCAGTCTGTGAATACGAGCATGCATTACAGCAGATGTGTCCCGGGGGGCGGCTGCAGGGGTATTCACCTATTGTGGATATGAAGGTGGTGTTGAAGGAGTCCTCGCTGAACCTGAACAGCAGACATGTCTTGCCGACTCCGCTGTCTCCGATCAGCAGCAGCTTGAACAGATAATCGTACGTCTTCGCCATTTGAACGCAGCATAAACTCCAACGTGTTCGATGTTAAACAGGCCGAGCAGCGGGATCCCCCCTCAGCTGTCTGTGTGTGACAGAGCGGCAGACCGGTGCCGTCACGTCATCGCGCGCTTTGCATTGTGGGACGTGTAGTTTGAGGTACGGTGGCCCCCGCAGCTCAAATCTCAACAGCAAATAAAAAGAAAACAAACATAAACAGAACCCAAAACATAGCGACATTCCTTTCACACAAATCAGGAAGTTAGCAAACTTTCCATTATTTAACAGGAAGGAAATGACACAAAGCAAATCTCAAAACGCAAGGTTGTGTTTTTTAATTCGCTGTGGTGTTTTCTTTATTGTCCTTGTTTTGTGGAATTTGCTTTTGTGTCATCCTTTTTTCCCCATTGTGTTTTCTTTTACGCCTTTGTGTTTTGTGAATTGTTGTGTTTTCCTATTTACCAGTGTTTTCTTATTTACCATTGTGTTTTCCTATTTAATGTTGTGTTTTCGTATTAACCATTGTGATTTCCTAAATATCATTTTGTTTTCTAATTCGTCATGGTATTTTATTGTGTTTCTGTTTTGCCATTGGTATTTCTTTTTTTTCCATTGTGTTTTCTTGTTCCTCTATCTTCCCTTGTGTGTTATTTATAGGTTGTGCTTTCTTGTTTGCTGCTGTGATATATTGCTGGATTTAGTAAATTAGCTGATCCAGGACTACATGTAGCCTGATTATATTATCTCTTTTTTCCTTCTATTGAACCACTACACATGAACAAAAAGTTATATGTGTCTATCCTTGCCTTCCATGTATTTTAATAAGGTGAGGTGGCTGCAAACAAACACTGCAGAGAGAGATTGCACAGAATTATTTAATAGAAAGTTTGAAAAGGTTCACACACATTAACATTTCTGTGGCATACACAAAGACCATGGCATGGAAGGTGCCAGACTTTTCCATGATGTCTGATAAAACAGTGAAGTGTTTTTCAGACACACTTTGGGGCAGAGTGAACGTCCCCTCCTCCTCCCGCTGCTGCACGCCGTGTCTCTGCCCAGCAGCCCCACGTACATGCAGGAAAGCTAAAGCTAACACGGACAAAATGCCTGTAAGTTGGAAAAGTTCCCAGCTCCGTGTTTGTGTGTGTGTTCCTGTGCAGTGATGTCGGCTGTCTGTGTTGTTCACTGTTGTCTTCTCCCCTAGCGAAGCCTCGGAGTTGTGTTGTTGACGTGTAGCAGCCGCAGCACATGGGGCTACGTGAAGTTAGCTAACGGAGCTGTGCGAGACAAGGGTGGCGGCTATTTGCTGAAACACAGCGGCATCAGACGTGTGTGCGACAGATTGCCAACAAGCAGTTCTCACCCGAAGCTTTTATGCAAGACCCTCATGCTTTTGAACCAGATGATTCATATTTTTTACAAACAATATTCATATTGGGAGAAGGAAAAGTACAGCGTGAGCTCTCTGTGTCTTCATTGCTTCAACATGAGTTCATATCAGCTCTTTTCCATGTTGTTTAAATCTTGAAAAACAAATGACAACTTACCTCGAGAGGAACATGTACTTGTCTTCATACAACGTGAGACCAGACAAAAGTACTCGGTGTATTACAAATCCCTAAAAACCACAGTTGTACTTTTATCTGACCAACCGGGCCTGGATGTCCTGAAAACTGTCAAATGTCTCCTGATTTGTATTTGTCATTGATTTTAGTTGGCCAAAGACCTCCTCCACCCTGCTATTGACAATGAGAGAAGACAGCACAAGAAGAAAAGACTTGTTCAGAGTCCTAACTCCTACTTTATGGACGTGAAGTGTCCAGGTGAGTAATGGCAGAATAGATTCAGGTCTTATCAAAAAAATGTTTTCAGACAGAACTAATCTGAGCTCCAGAGATTCCCTGGAATGAAGATGTCAGACTGAGAAACTCCAGACTTTTTTTGTGGACTTTCTCCGACTGCCTCTGTTGTATAAAGTCTTAGCACCCCCCAGATGTATCTTGCAATCCTTAAAAGGGGGCCTGTTACCTAGCACTTATATGTTTGACCTATTGTTCACAGTTTTAACACCATATTTTTCGCAGGCTGCTACAAGATCACCACTGTGTTCAGCCATGCACAGACAGTGGTTCTATGTGTGGGATGCTCAACTGTGTTGTGCCAGCCAAAAGGAGGAAAGGCCAGACTGACAGAAGGTAAAACATCCTAATTCCAGTGTAAAGATAGAACTGTTTACTTTGTTAAAAGTCACAAGTATACAGCCAGATAGCTGACATAACCCCTGTGTTGTAAACTAGAAGACTTTCTAACTCCTTTTCTTTTTTGTTTTACAGGTTGCTCTTTCAGGAGGAAGCAACATTAAAAAGGGATTGCCTAATCAGTCATGTCTGTAATTCTGCCATGGCGTTGATAAACATCAAATTTTTCCATTGATTACAATGTAGTTGTTCATTTAATAATGATTGTCACTGTACAAATGTTCAACTTTTAAGATGAGTTTCTAAACTTGCCAGCAGTTTTTAAGAATACGAAATGAGAGATCTTAATAAATAAAGCTGTTATAAAAACTAAGGTATTCTGGGACTTTTATTGAGGAATAAATGTTTGTCATGGCTGAAATTACCCTTACAGAAAGCATGTAAGTTGTCCTCTTAACTTCTGAGTGAAAAGAAATCATTTCTTCAGAAACATACATCACCAAAGATATCGATCTCTAAATATGTGAACATAAAAGGAACTCTGTGTGTATGTTCATGTTTCAGTAAAGTAAGACAAAAATTGTTTTATTAACTGTTTTAAACTCTATGTGAATAACCTGCGGTGTTGTATATAAGCCTGAATACAAAGATGTTTCACCTCATTTTCATAGGGTTAGGGTCCCTGGAACCCTAACTCACTTAATGTTTTTGATCTTAATATTTCCAAATGGCCCCTAACATTTGGTGGTGATAAATGGTTTGTGTTTATATTGCTTTTTTCTAGTCATGACCACTCAAAGCGCTTTACAATACAGTTTTACATTCACCCATTCACACACACATTCATACAGTGCATCTATGTGCACTCTCTCTATTAGAATGAGCAATATGGGGTTCAGTCTCTTTTTTTTCCTGATGAAGACTTGAGATGTTTTGTTGACTTACTGGATGCATAGCTTATGAAAGCAACTTTGTTTACATTTGATTATTTTGTCAAGTAATGGCATGCATGGTAATTAATTGTTTATTTTTCAGAAAAATCATCCATCCATCCATCCACCCACATATTGTGACCTCAATAGGCTAACTAAATGGCTGTTGAATCCATGTGTTTGAATGTGCACACCAGCTCTGTGACCCAGTGATCTTGGCCAAATCATCCAACAGCACAACGTCTCGTTCCACTGCTATACGGATGACACACAGATATACCTCCCTCTGAGACCTGATGATTGCTTACAGTGAAGATCCTCAGGTGGAGCTCTATTTTTATCCATTTAATTTGAACACTACTCTTTAACAACCACCTAAACATGGTTGCCTGGCCTCCTTGTCACATTGCATCCAGCTGATTGTTATTTCTGTTATATTTACTTTTCTTGCAATGCTGTGAAAGCACTTTGTAAATGCTATATAACTAAAGTTTATTATCATCATCTCTGGCGTTGTAGGTACACACAAATCTTTCCTCACGATTGTCTTTTTTTCCCCAATCCAGCTCCTTTCAACCTTTCTGCCTCTCTTTTCCTATCCAAGCTATTTCTACTAACAAGTGTGTAATTCAATTAAATTTGATCTTATAATATACATTATCTCAAGGTACTTATCATAGAAGGTCAAGATGTGAGTGAAGCCTCAATATGGGCTCATTTGTGTCAATGTATGTGAGAAATGGAATCAAGGTTTCTGTAAATTAATACCAAAAAAATGTAATACATTGACCTAAAGGGATTCTGGGACTTTTTATTGAGAAATAATAAATGTTTGTCATGGCTGAAATTACCTTCACAGAAAGCATACAAGTGGTCCTTTCAGCTTCTGAGTGAAAATAAATCTTTTGTGGGTTTGTTTTCTTCAGAAGCATATATCAACAAAAGAGATTGAGATAACAACATCAACATACACTTTTGATAACATTGGGAACACAAATAAAATGGGAAATACAAGTACCCCAGATGCATTTTCGTGTTACAGGAAAAATGCAGAAAAATGGTTTGCTTATGGTTTTAAACTTAAAATCATAACTTTAAAAAAACAAACATCCAAAGCAATCACAACAAAACGCCACATGTTCCTACAACCTATGGTATCATGGTCTACAATCACTGAGTCTGACATTGCACTCCGCCTCTGGGACCCTCCTCATCTTCCTCAAAAGCCTCCTTGCTGTAGTTTCTCTGTTGTGTTCGCTCATCCACCTCACAGAGATCCACCTCCTCCACATCATCAGTCAGCATCACGTCCTCCCTGGGAGGAAGCAGTCTTTCCAGCTGGAACATGAGGTGCTTTGGAAGCCAGTCTTTTTCGGGGAACTCCACCTATGGTGTTATATTACAATTATCGGATCTGAATGTTTTGTCCAACAATATAACCTTAGAAATGTTTTAATCCAGAGTCTGGTGTAGCACTGGTTAAACATTTCAGTGTCTTACCTGGAACTGAATAATAAGCTTTCCCCTTTCAAAGGGATCCTTGTAAATTGGCATGCCCTCATTCGGAACACATTTGATGTCATTGTGCTTAATGACATCACCTGTTGATAAAAAGATATGTAAATGAAATATGAATCTGAAATATTCCATTTGAGGAAAAAAAAAAAATCAGACAATCATCAATATCACTGGAGTCCAGCTGATCATCTACCTGGCTCTGAGCTGATGACAAGCGTTCTATTGTCTAAGGTTTGAATGGTATTCTTGAAACCACACAGGGCCTCAACAAGTTTAATGGTCATCTTCATTGTCAAATCCTCCTCTTGTCTCTGGAAAACAGAGTGTTCCTTCTGATCCAGCACAATGATCACATCCCCTGGCTCCAGTCCAGGTTCCTGGTCGCCTTCACCCTGGAATGTCATTCTCTGACCATCTTTCATACCTGCGAGACACATTTATCTTCCGGTTATTTGCTTTGCAGGTAATACTAACTAGACAATTCTTAAAAGAAATTAAATCATGTCAGATGGAAGGAAAATTAACCTTTGTCAATGTGAACTTCAAGAATTTTCTTCTTGCGTTCAACTTTCTGTCCATTGCAGTTCTTGCAGCGATCTTTGGAGTTAAATTTCTCCCCCTGTCCCTGGCAGTCTGAACACATGCTTTGGATCTGCTGAATCATGCCCGGACCAATCTGTTGCACCTTAATTTGTACTCCTCTTCCTTTGCAATTCGAGCACTTCTCCAGGGTACCTTTCTTACCACCATAACCTGCCATGAAGAATAATGACAGTTGGTTACTTCTGAACAAACTTGCTTGGATACTAGATAACGACAAACCAATACGTACCATCACATTTTTCACAAATGACATTCTTCTGGAGTCCAAGCTTCCTGGTGGAACCTAGGTACAATTCCTCTAGAGTGACACTAAGCTGGTGAACAACATTCTTCCCTGTAGGAAAATATACAATATATAGATGTATAATAAAGTAATGTATATAGGTAAAAGTTAAAGACAGTCTGCAAGTAGCCAATAGAAATCTTACCTTTTCTCTCTCTCTGCATACGTCCCCCACCTCCAAAGAACATATCGAATATGTCCATTGGCGATGTTCCTCCGCCCATGCCTCCTTCTTTGATGGCTTGTTCTCCACCTCGGTCATACAAGTCTCTCTTCTTTGGATCGGACAGCACCTCATACGCTTGAGATATATGCTTGAACTGTGGAATAAAAAAAACATTATGTCACTTTGGAAAAAAGACTGCATTCATTTCATAAGTAATTGACATACTTCAGTATAAGTGGAAATGAATGATAATGGTTTTATGATTCCTGAAATAGGATCTTTCAGGTTTATTTGATGTTCACATGGAATTATGGAAAAATTAACGACACGTCTCGACTTCCTATCACGGTCCAGAAATTAAGACAAAATATTCTGAATGCAAATGCTGTGCATATGGATCCAGTCTTTGCAGAAGCAATTGGGGATAGAGCGCTGAGGTAACCTCCGCTAAGGAGGTAATGTTTCACTGGTGTTTGTTTATTAGTTAGCTGGATTATGCAAAAACTACAGGATGGATTACCACGAAAATTGGTGGAAGGATCTAGTATGGGTCAGGGAAGAACCCATTAAGTTTTACTGTGAAATTCAGGCTTGTTTAGAGGACTGATATTTAAGAGAGTGTGCAGTTTGGTGCAGATCCATATACAAATTTGATTTGGTGAATTTAAATGTGGTTTGGCAAAGGTATGCACTCTACTGAGTGCTGTTCTAGCTAGCATAGTTTATGATAATAGTCCTAAAAACAAAAAGAAATGTGTAAGTTTCAGCGTAACATGTGAAGTTCTTTACAAGCTCATCAATCAAACCTAGTTTCCACAAGCCAAAGCCCCACAAACACCTCACTTTTTTCTGCCATGGCAATAGATGCAATCAGCATTCACTCCCCGGTCAGGTGACTGCAGTAGACACAGGTCCAATTGGCAGTAATGGAATCGAAATATGTGAGAGAGCTTGTCTGTTTCCAGTGCGTTTGTGACGTCCAACATGAAGCACAGGAAAAAATGACAAAAACAGAATGGCAAACTATTTGTGATATCCTCGGATATCAATGATCAGATGCAGAGACTTTAACTTCTAGTAAACTGGCTTTATTGCAAGAACCACCATACAACATGGCCAACATTGAAGTTCAGCCTCTCCTTGCTGAGGTCATATGCACTCTGCACACCACTCTATCTAATCCCATCTATGCAAATAGTGTTGCAGCCCTCTACTGGCCCTGCACTGCAACAGCATTCCAACAATCACTTAAAGGGATAGTTCCCCCAGAAATGAAATTGGTGGATGAAGTGTTGGGGTCCACAGTATGGAGGCATGTTATGTTTTGTTGTTGTTGTTGTTGTTGTTGCTTTATACGTTTGACGAAGGGGTCCCCCAGTTACTTCCATTGTATTGGATTCGGCTGCTACACTGTTTACCCCTGAGACTCCAGAAGTGTTTTGTGGACTCAAACACATCGCCCACCCCTCCATTGGCTTAGTGGAGAGTAGATAATGTGTGCATTGTCATTTTTCAGTGAACTATCCCTTTAAAGGTACACTGTGTAGAAGTTTGTGATATCTAGTGTTGTAATCGAATGTTGCAGCTGAACACCCCTCACCTCACCCTCTCCTTCCAAACATCTGTGGTAGCCTTCAGTTGTTATAAAAACTCAAAAGGTGTTTAGTTTGTCCAGTCTGGACTAATGTAAATGGCGGCCTCTGTAGAGAGGGTCCCCTCAATTAAAACAATTTAGATGAAACAAACTAGTGAAAACATCATGAGGATTATTCTACATTAAATTTCTGCCAATAGTTCCCTTTCACCTAAATCTCACACACTGGACCTTTAAGCCCCATGAGACAAATTGTGGTTTGTGAATATGGGCTGTA